AAGAAATCGAAGAATATAAATACATCTGATTTTTTTAGTTTTCAAAACTGTCCATCATAAATCCAACAATGTCATAGGAGTGCAGTGCTAAATTGTTAAAGTACTTTTTACCTTTTCATCTTGTGTCATCGTCAAATTAAAAACTGCATTTGTTTAGAGTAATTTTTGACCAAATACGTGGAAATGTATGATGTATTCTGTGTTAAGCAAACATTAGCATTCAAATGTGCTAAACTAAGATGGTGAACAACTAGCAAGTCAATTTTGTGCTTTTCTTTGTTTCTTCACAGCATCGGGCTTGCTCGTCCTGGCCAGCAGTAAAAATGTAATGCAAGGCGGGAGGGAATACAACGTTCTGAGCTTGTGGAAGCAAAAGTGTAACGAGTACAATATGACCACACTCTCTAACTTTGGGTTGGTCTTAGATAATCGGTGGACTGCGCCTATGGAATGACAGATTTGTGGTTCCTTATTTTAAAATGTGCAACCCAAAGACGCTCACTAACTATAAGACTGTCGAACTTCACATTCAGTAACAACAAAGACTCTATTCTGGTTGAGAAAGAGTGGATCAGCTTCGTAGTTCTGCAAAGAAACAGATGATTTATAGGGATTCAATCAGATCTTGTGTTTTTTGGACTTGAAGCAGCTTCATGGCTCTGTGTGTCACCAGTTGTGTTGTTAATTAAATTATTCTCTAAGTACAGCTGAGGAGTGGAGAGTTTCCTATTTAGCGATCACCGCATTACCTCTTTGGCATTTGTTGGCGATGGACTCCTGTTGGTTTACATCAGAGAGTGAGCTTTCGGGTGTAAATGGGTGGTTTGTAGCAGTGTGAAGCGGTTGCATGTAAGCGCCTCCAAAGCCAATAGCACTCTACTGAAAACAGATGGATTGTCTTCTTTTGTTTTTAAGTCCCAAGTTGAGGAGGTCAAGTATCTCTGCGTCTTATTCAGAAGCTTTTGTAAGATGAAGTGTGACATAAACAGGCAGACTGGAAGGATTTCAGCAGTGGTGCAGTCTAACAGACTGCTGCTTTAAAGCAACATGAGTCTGAAGGTAATACTTTTAAATTATTAGCCATTCTCTGTTTCAGTCCAGTTTTTTATGGTCATATCTCTGGACAGTGACCAAAAAATGAGCTAACTGGTTCAACCAGCTTACATTTTTCATTGCAGAGTTTGGAGTCTGGACATACTATGAGCCGGACGGATGGTCTTTCCTGCTAGAAGGAACAACTCTCAGGGTTTTAAACGTCAAAGCAGAATGTCGTGCCTCTGTTGGACGTATTCTGTGCATGTCTGTTTGGATGTCGTTTTGGAGCAAACTGCAGGGAACAAATCCTACCTGGTCTGGAAACATACCAATGTCCTTGTGGGAAGCTGGAGGACATGGCAGTGGACACAAATATGTGGGATACCTCGCATAGTCTGCTCTTGTGGCAACCTGTTTAAGCTGCACAAAACGGGTTGATGGATGAGTGTATTCAAAATCTTTCATCAGTTGTTCAACAATAAGGCAGCAAATTGGCAGTATTGAGAGACTAACGACAATTGTTTTGATTTTAAAAAATGGAAATGAAGCTGTAGCCTGAGAGTGAATCGTGACTTGTTGGCCTTTTATTGGGTCAGTTGTGTGACATGCACCATAGTATGACAACAGTATCATAACTATTGTTTACACACACTTGAACCCTTGATTAACAGGCCATCTTTATGCCAAACATGTAGAACATGGTCTTATAAAAACCATATAGTGTTCTGTATGCAGAGTTATGTCCAAGTACACAAAACACTGTTTCAAAAAGAATGTCTACCCAGTCACTTTAACATGTCTCTTGACTGATGCCACTTTTAGAAAGGACTTCCTTCTTGTGGTGTTTCACCTTTGCTTTAGATGCGCCTCACTAAACCAGTCTGAACTCTGATACAGTGAACAGCCTGTTACCAAATTTATTTACTCTCGCACTCTTCTTTACTCCTTTCTCCCTCATTAGTCTTCAACCTTATTCTATTAATCCCTCTCCTTCCCTCTCCTCATGAATGTATTACCTTCATTTCTCCTTTGCTTTTACTTGTACTATCCTCCACTGTGTTTCCATTTGTCATCCTCCTTCCTGAACCCTCCTCTCCCTTCCAGTGCTGCAGTTCCATTAGGTAATGAGCCAATACAGTAAATCACAGCTACCGTATGTATGACTAAAGCCTTACGTAAAAAAAAAATGCCCCTTGCTAGGCTAAATCAGCATTATTCACAGCTATGCAGCATGGTATAGGTCTTATGTAAGGCAGTGCAAGGGTTACGCCGCGCTAAGTCCTTCACCACAGGACAGAAGAGTTGTTAGTGGATCTCATGTCTGTGAGCATGGTGAGATGATTATGACTGGGTCGATATCAGGGGATGAGTGGCTGTATTGATGTAAGATAGTTGGTGGGAAGACTTTTTTTTCCCCTCCTGCTGTCATAAGCCAGGAATAGATGGCGCGAGAAAGTTTCAGAGAATGAAGGGGTGTGAGGGTAAACTGGCCGCCCCGATCACCCCTCTTAGTAGCTTCCATGAACTCCTGCCAGTGTCCTCTTTCTGTGTAGAACAGCTGTGTGTGTGCATTCCAGGCAGCTCAACTATCAGATCTCGGCCACAGAGGTAACTCTTATGTGTATAGACTTTAGTGAAGCAGGTTGCAAGTATCGCTTCTCCTCTTCGAACAGGGCTGAGAAAATATTAACCAGCTGTTTTGGACCAACTATGTTTGGAATGTGTATCTTTGAATGCAACTGCTCTGCAAGGGACTATTACCTGCAGGGTGCGCCGATTATTTAGCGCCGCTCCATAGTCGAGCGGTCTCCAGCAGACAACAGATAGATGTCTGTGTTATGCACTTAGTTGGACAACGGTACAATTAAGCCATCTTATGGAGGACTTATAGTGGTTTATGTTTTCCATCTTCAAGTTTATGGGATTTCGCATGAATCATCTTCATCTGTCAAACAATACCCACTCTAAGCCCATATTGTGGTATTGCGAATAAGCCACTTAGATCCTCTTGATAAGTGTATATCTGAACTGTAAATACCTACATGAACTGTACCATACTCTGGTAAATACCCAAACAGATTCTAAAGGGATTACATGTCTAGGAATGAATGGTATGTCTGTCAATGACAGACAGCTTAGCCCACTCCCAAGAAATGGCCTCCAGTTGCTTTGAAAATGAAAACCATTATTGGAGACATATGCAAGTTGGGAAAGGACAATGCTTAGTGTCGATGCAGAGAAGTATTCTTTTATTTTCTATTTTTATGGAGCACAAGAAAACTGATGCAGATCAATGAGTTTTGAAAGGTGCATTCAAGACCCCTGAATGATGATTGTTACTCGACCATTTAGTAGCCAGAAGTGGGTGAAGGTGCTTCCAATGTTCCCACTTAACCCTAGAACACTAACGCTAAAATTAGTAACACTATCACTAACGCCGGGTATATTTTACCCGATATAATAATCTGGATAAAACATAGTTTTCATTAATTTATGTAAAAGTAAAATGGGGCGGAGGATGTGGCCGGCCTGAATGTTGTTTCCCTTGAAAAGTGCAAAGAGATTTCAACACATAAACACTAGCATTGGGTAAATTCCACCCATAAAATATGTTGCCCTCTATCACTAACGCCGGGTGAAAATCACCCGAACGCATGCCTCTTGAAAAAACCATAGATGGGAGGTGGGAAACAAACATACCATTAATGACATCAATGAGCAGCCTGAAGCTACCCAAGGACCCATGCAACTCAGACAGCAGCAACACAATGAAAATCCCATGACAAAAATCGTGCGGGTGAAAATCACCCGGCGTTAGTGTTCTAGGGTTAATCAACAGTTAGTCTGCCTATTTTATAAAAGCCAGCTCGATTTTTCTCTTTTTTTTTTGGTGTCCTGTCATTCCCTCCATCATTTCCAAGCTTTTAAAGCCTTTAAAGCCTTTAATATTGCCATGTTTTCTTAAACTGGCACAAACACAAGTAATATAATTTGGGGCTGAGCTACAGCCAGTACTTTCAGTTTGGCTGTGAGTTTTGTACATCTACCTTATAAAACTTTTGTCTAAAGGCTACGTTTTTTTTTCTCTCTTTTTGGAGTTGCTATGAGCCTCATGATAAAATCACTTTTAACTTCCTTTAAAGAAACCCTGCAGGCCCCAGTAGACCTAGTCAAGCAGGTCTTTTCACTGCAAGTGAGGTGGAGAGAGAGAGAGAGAGAGGGAGAGAGAGAGAGAGAGAGGGAGGGAGAAAGAGGGAGGAGGGGGTTGTATTGGGAGGAGAGGGGGGTCACCTTTTGTGCAAATATATCAAGCAAGTAGACTGCTGCCACCAGCATCAGATTTCTGTGTATGTGTGCGTAAGAGAGAGAGAGAGAGAGAGAGAGAGAGAGAGAGAGAGAGGCACTCCTTTTGCAGAGAGAGAGAGGTCCTGAAAGCTTTGGAGCAGTGAAAGAAGAAGAAAAAAAAGACTTGCTGCTGCTGCTGCTGCTGCTGTGCCAGATTTCTACACTCTACAAGCAAAAAAACATTTTTTTTTTCTCCTTGGAAGAAGTCAGAACCAGCAGCCATGGACGGGATAACACTCGGACGCGCGTCGCTCTGGTGCACCTTGCTCCTCTGGGCATTTCAAGGTAAGCCTCTTTAACATTTCCCGCTAGGTTTTTTAAATATTACACCTCTTGTCACTAACTTTGTCACGCTTTTGACACGGTGCTGGTTGGATTTTCGTGCCCTGGGGGGATGTGAATTTATACTTTTCCTCGATTCGAGTTTCACAAGTCCGCTACTTTCAACCTGTCGGTACGAGCCGCGGACAGGAGCGGCTCGTTTAGTTGTTTCATTAAACAAAATCCTAGTTTGGTTTGTGTTCTGTGTAATGTGGAGCAACACGTTGTCGGGCTTTAGCAGGTAGATTTATCCGAAGTGAACATGTTTCATCGGACATTTGTTTTTTTTGACGGAGAACCGGTTGCGCAGCCTCAATGCAGCCAAAGACTAATTTATTATTTCTAGTGTTTACGGTGTTTTGTTGGAAATGTCTCAGTTCCGCACTTGAGTGCACTTTTCTTCAGCACACGGGACTGCGGCACTTTCTCTGGACCCAGCCAGTCCAGTGGCCACAGTGTGATGGAGCCACAATAAACCAAAATAAAACCTCCATTTAGTAATTAAAAAAAAAAAGTGCAGATGAAGTAGAGCAAAGCTTTTAAAATAAAATCTCCCAAACTGATTTTTTTATTATTATTATTATTTTAAAGTCCTCTTCTCGCCCCAGTGAATCTGCTTTCTGAGAGGCTTTTATTGTGAAGGCCGTGTTGCTCGTCTCAGTCCGTCTCTCTCGAGCCGCTGTGCTGCAGCTTCCAGCGCTTTGATGTCTGATCTGCGGGATTTATGTCTCCCGTGTTGGCAACGCGCCTCACCCCCAGCACCCCTGGTTGCGGCTGGAGAGGCTAAGCCAATTTTAAAATGCAACTCCACTGGCCTTGTGTGATCTTTGTCAAAGAAAAGTTTGTCCAAAAAAAAAACAAAAAAAAACCTGCTGCTTGAGGAGAGTGTCTGAGTTTGTTGGTTGACCTCAATGTGCTTGATGCTTATCTCTGCTGGTTAACTGTTCCTTAGGGAGGAAGGCTGCTTGCATTGATCCTGGTTCTTTTTTTTCTTTTATCTTGGCAATTTACTGGCACTGTGATATCTCATACTATATGTTTCATGTTTGAGGTTTACATTTTCGAAAAATATTCTCCCAGACCTGACTTGCTCTTTTTGTTTTTTTCATCATGTGTAATGCCACAATCAAGTTTGAAAGAATTCTTTGTGGGCATTGTTTGAAAGTTATGTGCTGCTCTGCCTGTGGTGATATGAAGCAAACTGAGGTAAAGGGTGGGGCTTCTCTTCTTTCTCACTCTTCTCCCTACTTTGCAGTATCCTCCCATTACTTTGGCCCTTATTATGCAGCAGCTTCATTTAAAATTAGATTAAAAAAAGTCCTTTATATCTGCTTCAACCAACTAACTTTTCATCCCACAGTTCCTGTTTACCCCCACTTAATTTCCTGAATGTTTTATAATTGCACCCTTCCTGCTCTCTGGTCTTCAGAGACAAGTTGTTGGTGCTTTGCTTGTCTGTCTGCCTTCCGTGGAGCCTTTTAACAGGTACTTACTTTTAAAACAAGCGCCCTGTAATTGATGGATGCGGGGCGGTGTATCGCACAGCTGTGGTGCATTGATTTAAAGGCTCGGTTCCAGGTGCTGAGCTCGCTGCTGGCTCCGACGCCCCCACCGCCTCCACGCCCTGCCGCTCCGCAGTCTGAGGGAAGAAGAATCTTTGTTTTCTCAAAGGAAAAGTTCTTCTTTTCTGAAGTCTCTCGCTCCTTTTTTTTGTGATCATTCTGTCTACTAACAGAAGCTCTTGTTGGGTCTCGGTGGGAAAGTGTCACACAGACCTGCATTCTCAAAATTACTGGTCACACACTTGCAGTGTTAGTGCTGAGCATGTGCAAAGCAGAACCACAGCACCAGGGGCTGACCAATATGGCTGCTTCAGGGCAAACACCAATGATCAGTAGATGGATGGTTGATATTTGGAACATTTTGGGGTAAATTTTGGAGTGTACATTTATAATGCCACTATGCCTGTGTTGATACATGGTTTGCACGTGTTTGATTAAAAGAAAACTGCATTTTTCCATAAGTGGTGATTAGTCGAGTCTTGTAACCAATCAGATGCTGTGGATGGACCTCAGAATGGTGACTACAGATAGAACAATGGCAGTATTTTTATTTTCTTCCATCAGTTAAGTTTGACCAAAATAATATAGATAATCAGTAAAATTCCTAACATTGGATTCTGTAATGTGTAACCAGGCTGATAACTGGTCAGTTAATTCCCTACACGGAGCTCATAACTCCCAGATGTGTGTTGTCTCCTGTAAGTGTGTCTGAAACTGTGCTGCCATAAAAGCAATGACCCCCATCAGTAGTTTACAGCTTATCAGGGCCTTTGCTCGTACTTCATTTTGACGCGGCCCTCTGGTGACCGTGATAATTTTGATGGGAGCAAAGTAGAAAGTGAGATGACACATTTACAGAGCTATTTACAGACTTAGGCGGGAGGTCAGGGGAGACCAAGGAGCAATGACTAACCTGCAACTTTCACATTCATCACTTTATGCACAGACACTCAAAAAGCTTTTTTTTTTTTGGTGATCATTGCAAAAAGAGCGGCTATAAAAAGATAACTGTTTCTGAAGTTAACAAATATAAACTGTGTTATCACAGTGCAGGTTGACAAATCTTATTCTTCTTGTATTGTTAGCAGAATTTGAATAATTTAATTTAGCAACATTAGGAAAGTCAAGAAAAGCCATGTAATCATTTTATCTAATTCTTTTATTCCTATTTATGTGTGCTGGGAGGAAACAGGAAGTCAGCTGACTGCAGGAGAAGCTTGCTCTCAATCTGCTCAGTGCAAAAAGGATGCTAATGCACATGCCTTACATACATTATTATGTATTTGTAAGCTTATATATTTGCATACATTTATATTAATGCATGTAGTTGTGACACAAATATGTGCTGCATGGCAACCAACTCCTTAGATGTCACTGCTCTCGTCATAACAGTGAAAACATGCTGAAACACAGCTTCTTTCAATGTGTACAATCTGTAATAGCACGCTGTCTGACATCAGAAACACTTTTTCGACACTAATTGTGAAGAAATTCCAGTATTTGGAAAGAGCAGAGTTTTTGTACAGATCTTACAAAACCAGGAACATCACAGTAACTGTAGAACTGCCTCAGTTGCTCTTTTAACTTTTTTTTTTTTTGCAAGTTTGGGGGATAAAAAAGAACAAAGTGACATTAGGGCAAAGAGACAAAAGGAGAGTGAAATGGTCAGATGAGTTTGAGCTAAATTGTAGAGACTCCAAAGTGGTCAGGAACAAGTGGAAAGAATCGTTGTGACAAGCATCAGCTGAGTTCAAGGTGTTAGCCTCTAACACGTAGCGTCAGTCTCTTTGTCTAACGCCGGCCTAATTCCCACAGTCATTTCCTCACTTTTAATTTCTGTCCCCCTGCCAGCGTAGCATCAAAAGTGCACCCCCTGCGGCCATATGTAATTATTATGGTATTAGGCCAGAAAAAGAGCCATTTAGCCATGAAGAGGTAAAATCCAGAGGACCTGTTTTACAGCTGTTTTGCTTTTAGCCTTAGTTTCAACACACCCACAAATTGTACACATGTATGCGTACCTAATGTGTGCTATGCTGGGTTCTGGTGTTACGCAACACTGGAAACCTTATAGTGAGTGACACACTGGCTGTTTCGGGAAAGCATGTACATGTTTGCCCCCCTTGTGATTTAGGTCTCTGGGGGAATGGGCCTTGGAATGGAGGGGCCATAATTATTGTGTTTGTCAGTGTGTGTGTGTGTGTCTTTGTGACAGAGACTGAGTAAATTACTGATGTGGAATGAGTGGCATTCCTCTGGATGCGTCGGAGCTTGCCCTGTAATGTGTTTGTCATCACTTCAGATTCTACGAAAAGGGCTTTCTTTCTCACTTTAAAGCCCCCTCTGACCCTCTCAAGCAGTAATCTGCGAACAAACAAGCGGACACAATGCGTTTTCCACGCAACTATCTAGAGGCAATATCATACGTGAAGAGCTGGAATCTGTTTACAGCCAGGTTGCATTCCTGAGGGTTGACTAGATTTGACGCAGCTGAACAACCATTGGGCACCAAACGTTCTCAGATGAAGTAAAGGGCACGTTCTGGTTGACTTGTGCTCTGAAGTCCATTTAGTATTTCCTGAGCTCGGAGAAAGGGGGATTTCAGCGTGTCCATTAGTGTTCATTATTTGCAGCGAATAACACTTTAGAACTGCATTGCAGCAGGTTGATAGGTTGCCGTCCTGCCTGGCTGGTGAGCTGGCAGTGAGCCCCGGTAGACAGTTGGGCATCAGCAGATGATACACTGCGCGCACGTGTTTAATCCCGGTGAAGTCAGTTAGTAAGAATGATGGAAAACTTTATCCCCCTGCTTATTCATTCTCCTATCCCCCCACAAGGGCTTCAAAAAGAGCTGCAACCAAAGCTGTGATTACACACACGCACAAACTTCGACAGGTACTCATACATAAACAAAAGGTGTCTTTCTCCAGATTAGCTTTGTCTATGTTCCCATCTCTCTCCCTATCATCCCGTCTCTGATACCTCGTCTCATTATCTTCGTCTGTCTGCTTCTCGCTCTGTCTCGGTATGCCTTTCTTTTACCCTACATTCTCTTCTTTCTGTTTTTCTTTTTTTTTACAATGACATTTTCGCATAGCTCCTTTTGTGCCCGGCTGTTGTGTGTGTGTTTGCTTGCGGTGATTTAACATGTTGTCTTTGCCTGGGTCAGCCACTGTGCTTTTGTGCAAGGTTCATTGTTAATGAGTCCTCTGCGTAGATTGCCTGCTGTGTTTTAGTGGGAGGGGGGTGTGTTTGCTTTTACACCCGTCCTCAGAGTGTTTCCACAAAAGATTTATGGACACTATTCATGATTTGAAAATAAGAACGGCCATCCCTCCTACGCTTGCCTCCCCCGCCCGCTGCCTGCCACAGTTTGATTTAAAGTTGTTTCAGATTGATAAG